ACGTAAGGGAAGATAAGGAGCTAGAATAAGTACGTAAGGAAAGGAGTAAGGAGGTGAGGATAATAGTTACCTCCTTACGGCGCGTTAGAGGATATAAGGAGAAAGGAAGGATAGTTATTCCTTCCTTCTCTCTCCTTAGATTTATTCTCCTTATTACTAGGTTAGCTAGCTAGTTATAGAACTCTTTCTAAACTCTTATAAGTTTATTAATAAAGTCTTCTCCTCTAAAAAACGTAAAGTATTTAAGGTTAGGAATCTACGAGTTAAAGATAGCTAGGGACTGGACGATCCCTAGCTAGATCTAATATATACTAATATATACTAGAGATTAATATTCCTAAAGTAATTAAAGTTAATAAAGCTAGTAGAAGTGATAAAGAACGTACCGAAATCTACGAAGAGTCTACTAAGAGCTATAAGATAGATTCCGTTAATTAGGGGGAAATTAAAGATAATCTTAGAGACACTATTTAAAGAGATAAGATTACCCCTAAGGATTTATCTTAAAATTAGTAGACGAATAGAGATACGGAACCTAATAAATCCTTATAAGAAAGGAATTAGTCTAACTCTAAAGTATTATAAGGAGCTAAAAAGGTAGTTCACTTAAAATACTTTACCTTTTTTAGCGATAAGGAAGACTAAGACTCTAACTATATAAGTAAGATATTAGATACTAACGAAGATTTAATATTAATAACCTTAGAAAAGGATACGCTAGCTCCTAAGAAGGAGAAAAGTAAATTTATCTTAATACTAACTAGATAGGTTTAGGGTCTACTATATACCTTAAGGCTAGACCCGAACCGTTACGATATATACTTTCGTAAAAGAGTAGACTACAATCAGAACATTACGAATGAAGATAGATATATATAATATAAGACTTAAAATTAGACATATATTAATTAGATGGAAAGCTACTATGAGAGTTTAGAAAGAGTTCTATAACTAGCTAGCTAACCTAGTAATAAGGAGGATAAATCTAAGGAAAGAGAAGGAAGAAATAGCTATCCTTCCTTTCTCCTTATATCCTCTAACGCGCCGTAAGAAGGTAACTATTATTCTCACCTTCTTACTCCTTTCCTTATATACTTATTCTAGCTCCTTATCTTCCCTTACGTACTTATTCTAACTCCTTACCTTCCCTTACGTACGGTGTCTTAGCTGTCAGGACTTTATATCCCTTGCACCGTGTGCGTCTTGACTAATTAGGAGGCAGCATTTCGCCTGTACATTATATAGGCAAATCTTGACTAATTAGGAGGCAGTATTTCCTGGCGTTGGTCTTGGCGCTGGTTCGCCAGAACTGAGCCTTCTCCTGGGTTCAACCCATCATAACTAGAGACGATATCGATAACGATATTAATGAATATTCACTTAGACGCTAGATATCGCGACACTTAAATAAAGTCTATTAAGGATAAGGTAGTTACTATGCTAGCCGAATAGATTAAAACTCTATCCCTCGAACCTCTAAGTTATAAAGAGGCTATATCGGCTCCTGATACATTAAGGTTTAGAGAAGCGATAGAGGCTAAAACGCTGAAAGTTTAAAATGCTGGAAGTCTTTTCCGGCGGTATAGGTGTTGTTATTTATTATTTAAAAAAATAATTTTCCATTAGATAGAATTCTTAGCGGTATAGACTAATTATAGGCCGTATCTCGGGTCGCGCGATATAGGGTTTTTTATTATGATAGCGTAATTACCACTAGTACGTAGCCTTTATTCCCCGCATAACCTCTTACGTAGCCTACGAATTTTTCAATTTTTCAACTTTTCGACTTTTTGTTTTTATTTTGGTCGGAAAACACTTCCGGGATATTAACTTTTTTTAACTTTTTAATTTTTTGTCTACTCTAGCCGGAAACTACTTCCGGAAACCACTTCCAGCATTAACTTATTAACTTTATTACATCGACTCGGTAAGAAACCACTTCTAGTATGTTAACGTCTATAGGAAGGAATGGGGCGCTAGTGATTGAGTAAAGATAGGTTTGATAGGATAAATGTTCTTATAAGTTTGTGCGGTAAGGAACGGCGCGTAGGTAACTAAGCAATGAGATCTTTAGCGGTAAGGAATGGTGTGTAGGTGATTACGTAATGAGAGATTTAGCGGCGCAGACTGTTTCTACAAGTTTTTGTGGCATAGAGCGGCGCGTAGGTGATCGATCGCAAAGCGATTTGGTAATAAGGGTTGTTCCTAGCGAGGTCTGGCAATATTGACACGACGCTCTGGCGACAGAATGTTAACTTGTTGCACCGACTTGGCTAAAACCACTTCTAGTATGTCAACATGTTAACTTGTTAACGTTGTTGCACCGACTCGGCCACCTTGTGGATGAGACAGTATCGAGATGTGATTGTCACCTCGATCTTTGGGCATATGAACATCGATCATTTCAAGAAACCACTTCCAGCATGTCAACGTTGTTGCATCGACTCGGCCAGGTGGAACTCCACTCACTGACTCTGTATGGCGTCTGCACTTGCTCGTGCAGGAGGGGATGCTGGGCGACGAGATTGTGATGCGAGGCAGCCAGCTTTGGATGGTGCTGGCGGGCCGTCTCGAGGCGGAGGATCAGCGTGATGGCGCTCTGGCTCGGGCGCCGGTGACACCATGGACCGACGAGACTGCGGCTGCTGATCGATTCTGATCGAACAGCCGGTTTCTGTTGCCGCGACCGGTTCGACGAATCCGGCGTGGCCAGCGCAGAGAGTCTTCAATGCTATGGTTCATGGAGCGTAGGATACCGCCTTCGAGGCCGCGAGCTCCATGAGCATCAAGACCGTGCGTGATGAAAACAGACAAGTTTGAGTGGCCCTGGATCGCAAACGACCCTCGTACGACCGCCACTCCCGCCCTCGCTGTCCTGGTGCAACATCGGCGCAAGTCGTCGACAGTCGATGCTTCCCATAGCCTTGGAGGGATCGGCCTTCGCATTCGACCTCTCCTTATCCCGCCAAGTCTCGGTCAAGTCGATCTTGCCGGTTGAGGAGTTCCTGCGACGGGACCGCTGGGGGAAAAAGCTCATGGCCGTCCGCAGCCACTTTGGGCATCGAAAGGCCCAGCTGTGTGGCACTAAGGCGAGACAGTCACTCACGCGAGCGTGGGCGAGTGATCCTACCACCGGGTGCGAAGTCCACTAGGTCTGAAGTCCCTGGCCTCGTGGCAGGACGGGACGCTACTGCTGTGCACTCGCCAAGTGGTTTCCGGCCAGGTGGAACGATCAAACCCGTGGCGAATGCGGGAGATTGATTCCACTCCCCCAAGCATACCTCAAGCTCTTCTTTCGCAACTATCATTGTCAATACATGGAGCGATCTTTGGTGGGTAGCAGATCGCAGCTATGCTACGACTTTGCAATCACAACGGCCGAGTTGGTCTGCAACGGCGCAGAAAGCTCTGGACAGGAAGCCTGCGAAGGAGGAACGGTCTTTAATATTAAGCGAGTCGAGAACATGTGTTCGACCATAGAACCGCCTCCTCAGCGACGGAATGGACCAGTCGCTCCTGCCTTGTCCGTTCCCCTAACCCGTCACGGGCGGGCGCGAAGTAGAGTAATCGACCGAGCTCGAGCGGTGGCATAACTTAATACGGCGGCGCCGGCACGGGTCACGTACGCTAGCATAGAGGTCTAGCGAAGACGCCCTCCGGCGCCGACTACGGATTCCGCTCGTCTAGCTATTTAAGCTTCGACGCTAATCTTTAAGCGCTATTCGAACAGATAGAATCTGGCAGTAAGAAAACGGTAAATGTCGCGAGGATTCAGCCCCTTGTACTTTACTTCAGGTTCATTCTCTGCTGCGCACAACGAGGACACTCTATCGATTGCACAACAAAAGAACTAGAGGTCTCTGGTTGAGGTACCCAATTGGCAACAACCTGACCCCCATCCGCTGACAAATCTGGTCGCGCCCACCTAGCCAGGCACCCAGGGAGCGTTATTTGGAGGAAGTGCCGAAGGAGATGGGTCGTCCATTGCATTACACGGTAGGACCAAGCATTCCGAGCACGAACTGCTGGAGTTACGAATGACTGCAAAGACACACCCGGCCGCGCAAAGGAAAAGGGGCCTTTGTTCGTCCTGACTCAGCCGAGCAGCCCTCCTCCGTCCAGGTTGATCGCTTGGGTTGAGTGAGGGTTGCGTGGGTGCGGGCGGGCGGACCAGGGGAACTTTAGGACCTTTCGCCCCTCACCCCCGTCATATCCAACAATCATGCTCGCAGGCGCTCCGCCACGTGAACTCGACCAAACGCGCTCCATGCAAGCATTGGAATGCGCCAGATGCTTGGCCAGTGAGGTTGCTTGGACCTGTCCCGCAGACTTGTTCTCTGGAAAGAGGATATTCAGGGTTGTCTGGTCGGGGAACCGGCGGGGCTTCAGATCGGATGGTCCAGGCTATGCCTTTCATTGTTTGAACAGGCGCCAGGCGCCCCAAAGGTCCAAGCATGGGTTCAACCCGCCCTTGACAAGGTAACGGAAGAGAGCGAGGTCGGCCGACCCTCAGGAAAACGGATGGCGCTCAACGCTGGGTGGGCACTGACATTCACCCCCCGCCCTTCATACCAAGTTTCCATCGAGGAGCACGAAAAAGCACATGGAGCCGCAAGGACAGGAGCCGTCAAAGCTAGAAGCAACACTATTAAGCTATCGGTGCACTATGAAAAAAGTTCACTGTGAAAAGCCATGCTCAAACACCCGCCTTCCCGACGTGAACATGTCGACCTCTTGGGCGGTTCAAATCCAGAGCGCCTGGGCATGGCGGCTTCGCCTCTTCGGGTGCTCGAGCAGTGGTGACACACTGCCGCCATGAGCATCCTTTGTCCACCCATCAGGGAATATCTCTGACCTCGCCAGAAGGACGGCCGACAACCTCCTTTGGCCCCCCCCCCCTTCATTGTCCCCCTCGTCCTTTCTGGCCAAGTTGTTTTCCCAATTCGACCCGGTCACGGAAACCCTCCCACGACCAATCCACAGGCGGGGAGATCAGTGACTTAGTGCTCGAGCGGCAGTGACACACTGAGCCATGAGCATCCCTTCGCCACCCTGTGCTCCCCAAGATAGCTCATGAAGTCGGAGCGCCGTGCGTAGTGAACTTGTAGGGGCTCGTCGTCGGGGAACAGCGGTACGCTTGGAATGCGGGAGAAATCAATAGTCGGCACGTCTCTTTCGTCGTTGAATCGAGGAAGGCGCTCGCCGGCGTCGAGCTCGCTGAGACCCAAGCCTTCGGGGAACCAAAGATCCGCTGTCCCCAAGCGGAAGGCCTCGGCAAACTGCAGATGGTTCTGCTCCCCAAATTTCACGCTTAGCCACCGGCGTCGTGTTTGGTTGTCCACTTCTTCAAATTGAGGCTTCATTTCTTCCTCAGGGTCGTCAATCGTGAACCTCTCCATGCCGAGATAGCGATCCCGCACCAACCAAAAGCTCTTGTCAATTGGATGGAAGACCATATGAAATACACCAAAAACGCCGTCTTCCACCGTGTAATACGGGTCTTGATTAATCACTCTTCCCACAGGGAGGCCGAACCGTAGAGGGAGAACAGGTTCTTCTTCGGTATTAGAGCCGCGCTCTACTTGAAGAGCCGGGTCGAACTCATGAATAAGGTCCATAAACTCCTCATTCTTGTCAGGTGTAGTTGCGCCGGCAGCGTTCATTGGCATCAAAGAAGTATCGGGGTCGAAGTACAACGGGTCAGGCTGAGTTTGAATCCGAAAGATACGTAGCGTGTCGTAGACGCCACAAAGAAATATACTAAAAGTGTATTCGTCATCTTGAGTGAAGTCGAACCGGTGAAGCCATTGAAAAAATTCTTTGAGACAGCCAGAGCCGATCCATGATAAAGACTTGAGGCATGGTATAGGCCCAGGGTATGGTAAGGGGTCCGCAACCTTGGACGCCTTTCCCATTTCGATTTCGCGGAGTGTGATTGTCCTTCCGTACTCATGTTGTGCCACAAAATACGTCACCCGGTCTCTGGGACGAGGTATAAGCTTCCTTTCTTTTTCTTTTTCTTCGCTTGCTTCCTCGTCTACTGCTTTCCTTGCTCTCTTCTCTGCTTCTTCTATTGCGTTCTGTGTAGGAGTCATCGTGAGTTGACTCTCGCAGGACTCGAGAAGGTTGGGAGGGACGGCAATACTTTCGACTCGCTGGTCTGGATATGAATGGGATTGACGTGATCAACAAGGTGTTTTGGGACCAAGACGAGGCAAGAGTGAAGAGATGACAACCGTGGAGAAGTGCAAGGGTCAAGACTCACGAGGACTGCATTCACGACCTCGCTCAGACTGCATTCAAGACTGCAGTCAGGCTTGGCACCCCATGGAGTTGCCCTCAATTGGGAGTCTACGCACCTGCCGCAGCATGGGGGCAGCTCTCCTGCACTGCAAGCCGCACGGGGCTGCAAATCAAAATCTAGGCACTGCTCGATTGGAACCATGTCTCTAGACGAGTCGGTCTAGACGAGTCGGTTCCTCAATGGCGCCCATGAGCCAAGCTGGCCACGAATCCCAGTGAGTCGGTGCGAAGGACTTTGAGTCGTTGGTGTATACAGAGCTGGTGCCAGGTCTTTGATCTCCATCGAAACTTTTGATTCTGTCGGCTTTGTTCCAGACCGATTTGTCTCGAAAGTTGCTAAAAAAAACCCAACAACAACAAAATGTTTCAACTTCTAGCCTCGCTCTCAGCTTGAGGTTGAGAATCACCCCCCTGAATCGTGAGCAAGTCCATCAGGCACAGATTTGACTCATCGCAGACTTAGGAATCAGTCGCACGAGCGATAATGTCTGAGAGCATTGGTTTCCTTTCCGAGATGACAGAAGACAAACAACACCAGTGGTGGGAACGCCTACTTTCCATCTGGTCTGTTTGAATTGCACAAAGGATATGTGTGCTTGTTCCCGTGGATCAAGGCTGTGAGATGGGCAGATGCCTCAACTGCGCTGCTACTTCAACAAAGGATATGTGTTCTTGTTCCCATGGATCAAGGCTGTGAGATGGGCAGATGCCTCAACTGCACTGCCACTTCCACAAAGCGAGCACTCAGATGATGATCGGGAGCTGTTTCACGATACGACAATGCTCATACAGACGGTACGTGATATAAGGGAAGTACTCCAGGACCGAGATGTGAGTGTTCTATACACATTTCCTTCATCATTTCCTTCATCATGGCTGGTTCCAACGAGATGAGCACTTCTGCTGACTTTGAAGACTTTTGGAAGCTGTCAGATCGCGACCTCACGAACCTCACGAACGACGACACGATCAAAATCTTGACCGCCGGGGTCAAGAACATGTCCAGCATTGCCAAATGTGCGCAAGATCTGCTTTCCGAAAACGCCCTCCTCCAGAAATACTTGACATACCAGCGCCTGGTCAAAGTCCTCGATTTCGTTTCGAAGGGAGCACGGTTACTCCACCCCAACCCGAAGTCAGATCCCCTGACGAAAACCATTGACGACTTTGCGGGCCTCTTGGACGACCTCAAGGGCGACCTTGCTCAAGAGGATGATGACCAAAACAAAATACCCAATTCGTCGGCGATTGAGCTTCTCCTGGAGCTATTCTACAAGGCTATGCCTGAGGTGCCTGAAGATATCGGTACGTGATCGGCAATATTGGTATATCCAGGTGACTGATTGATTGCAGATGAATTCGTGCTGGCCTTCGAAGCCCGATTCGGCAAATACTTCACACAAGCCAACCATTGCGGGTTGCCCTCGGTCGTTTTTATATGCTTTGCACCCCATGGCATCATTATCACAGCTACTGCAGCGAGATGGCAGTTATCCTTGGAAAACAATGAGACGACACCAAACAAACGAGAGGTCGAGTTTGATGGGGTCAAAGTCAATATGAGACGGATGCGGAACAAGCGCTTCCAATTCAGCTTGACAGAGAAGCCAAAGCAGTGGAAACTATTCGAGAAAGCGCACGACAAATGGCGGAAGCCGAAGAATGACCACACAATGAGCTACGAGCTGCAGAAACAACATTTCGAAGGCTTCGACCACTTGACTGCCCATGGAGGCGCATTCCATGTCCTGGCTGGAGCCGGCAGCATCCTCGAAATCTACGCCCCTTGCATCAAATGCCGCTACTTGCACCGGTTTGCATATATCGGCCCGAAGCCTATCGACAACCGACTCACGGAGGGGAGATGCTACTATGGTAACTGCGCCGAAGATCTATGCCATGAGTTGTTACTGAAGAACAAAGCATTAGACCGGCAGCCGAATACGTCTCTGTGCTGAACAAAGGCACCCTTCAACCACCAACCAACCATCTTAACCCCCCGCCCGTCTTCATCACAACCGACCTGCAATCCCTTCTTCTTCGCCTTGGTCGTCCACAATCCGCCGTCGCCTTTCTTCCCCCCACCAGAAACTCTGCGCCTGTGTGGGCAGCTTCTGAGCATGATCTGTCAGCGTGGTGAGCAAAAGGTTTGTTGCACGCGAAAATGGTACCGAGAGTGAGGGAGGCCATCTCCAGTCGATCTGGTTTTGTACATATATGTGGCGTCACTTCAGGTGTGGCCCGGGGTCGGCGGCATATGGCAGATGCATTCTTGTTGGCGCGCCTCAGATAGCCGAGCGCTGGTCGCTCCCTCGTTGGTTAGCATTCATTCATGTATTGTCCGAGAGTTTCTTTCGTTTCGGCCCCAGCAGCGAGCAACATGAAAATATCCCATGTTGAATGGAATCGGTGCTCAGGTCACATGGCGAGATGCTCGGGTCTGGCTCGCTCGCTCGCTGGGGCCCGTCGGCGGTTTCGGGGGGGGGGGGGGGGGGGGGGTCCTTTAGGCATCCCCACTACCTTTAGATACCCTAATTAAGATCCTTCAGGCGCCCCTAACGTCCTGCACGACAGCCGCGCCAACGACCATGGCGCGGGTGGAAAAGTTGAAATTCCAGGAGTGCCCAAGATCCAAGTCGAGGGGGACTTCTCAACATTCTCGAGTGGCAGCGAAAAGCTTAAATTCCAGAGGGTGCACTTCTCGAGACTTCTCCAGGCAGCGAGAGTTTAAATTCCAGAGGGTGCACTTCTCGAGACTTCTCCAGGCAGCGAGGGAGCTGAAAACCGCTGAAAACGCTCAAAGTTGAAAATGCTGGAAGTCTTTTCCGGCGGTGCAGGTTGTCATTTATCTTGGTCATTTGTCATTTGAAAAAATATTATTCTGTCTGACAGAATTCTTGGCGGTATGGACCAATCACAGGCCGTGCCTGAGGTCGCGCGACATGGGGTTGTTTTGTCATGACAACGTGACCACATGACAACGCCACCACCACATTGCCTTTGTCCCCCGCACAACCCCTCACCACACAGCACTTTTGAACTTTTCACGTTTCACTTTTCAACTTTTTTCCACTCTGGCCGGAAATCACTTCCGGAATGTCAACTTTTTTGCGATGCACACCCACTCTGGCAGTACACGCCGGAAACCACTTCCAGAATGTCAACTTTTTGGCACCCACAGTACCACAGTACACAACTCAGTCTGCAACGCACTCACTCACTCACGTCTTCCACCAACATGATTGCGTACGTGTCGGAAGTAGCCACTTGAACTTTGCACTTGGACTTTTCAAAGTCGGCTACTGAGAGGGGTGCCTGAGCTACCTACTAAAGGAGCGACAGTAGGTCCGCAAAAGTCACCGGACACTAGTCGCTTGGCACCCACACCACCGAATAGACGTGTACAATTCAATTGATTATTTCTCAACCACCATCGCTTCATTTATTGTTTAATTGTTATAGAGATGCCTTCGAGACGTGCATATTCTGATTTTGAGCGCGGAACAGTATATGGCCTTCATCTAGCTGGTAAATCTGTACGCGAAATTGCGACTACCATAAACATCCCGAAATCGATAGTGTTAGATATACTACAGAATCCACAACCAGATAAGAGCGCTCGGACTAGACGGCCTAAAAAGCTTTCTAAGCGTTTAGAAAGGCTCATTCTACGTATAGTTAAGCTCTCGCCTAAGATCTCGTACGCTGAGCTGAGAAAAAGGCTTTAACTTGATGTCTCGGACGATACTATTTCTCGCCTACTTAGAGACAATAGGATTAAGAAATGACTCGCGAAAAAGCGTCCTAGGCCTACGGACGAACGTACTAAATAGCGCTTTGAATAGGCCATGGCCCATAAGGACTAGACGTGGGAGGATTAGCTCAAAGTCGTCTAGAGCGACGAATACTCTATTTAACGCGGTAGCAGTAATAAGAGAGAATGGGTCTTCCGTACGCCTAAGTAGAAATGGGATAGCGATAAAATCACTACTAAAGGTATATCTAGAGATTTCTCTATTATGATTTAGGTAGCGATCTTTAGCGAGGGCGAATCTTCCGATATATATATCTTATTCCGTAATTAGAAGTTAGTAAAGATGGGCTCCTTAGCGAATTCCTATATCTAAGTCCTCGCTAATAATATTCTAGTAGTCTAGGAGCCTAGGAGGATATTTAGGCCCTGCTTGGCTCGACAGCGCTTTTGACACCCAAAAGCGCTTGTGGCAGAACAGGCCAAGCCGCGTCGTCTCTGGCGCCGTCACGCCTAATTTACTAGGCGCGATCCCTGACTAGGCATAGATCGGCCGCCATGACGTTCCTGATTTTCCTGTAGGCAAACGAGTCGATTGAGCGCAGTTAAGACCTCGTCGTTAGCTGTTTATATAGCATTCCTTAGTGTTGATGGCCCTACCTACCTACCTAGCGATCTCTGTCCAATCTACCGCCATAGTTGGACCTGTCCTCGCGTTCCTGTTTATGCTATTCGCTAGCAAAATCGCTAATAGGTTTAATCGCGAGCCCCTTTACTCGAATCCTCGCCGTGGCGCTGAATTATTAATCGATTGGCGACGTAGACCAGTCCTTTTATACCGCAATCTGGGGTGTTCGATTGAGACATTTGACGACCTCGTCGCCTAGGTCCGTGATAATGGAGGCTTATAAGATTTACGCTATATGACTGTCGAGGAGAGGAGAAGGTGGCGATCTTCCTGTTTATCTGCCGATTTGGTGCTACATAGGCTATTGCGCTAATAGTGTTCTCTCGAGGTCCTTAGGGTATCTCATACTTATT